GAGAGCGAGAGAATGAGAGCGAGAGAATGAGAGCGAGAGAATGAGAGCGAGAGAATGAGAGCGAGAGAATGAGAGCGAGAGAATGAGAGCGAGAGAATGAGAGCGAGAGAATGAGAGCGAGAGAATGAGAGCGAGAGAATGAGAGCGAGAGAATGAGAGCGAGAGAATGAGAGCGAGAGAATGAGAGCGAGAGAATGAGAGCTTTTATATTTCCCCAGTGCACAAAATATACAAAATCAAAAAAGAATTCTTCAGTTCATATGCTAGATATGCTATTTCACCTGTGCTTACTGCAATGCTGACACTTTTTTTCATGTGGATTCCAGGAGATGTCTGGGTTTCCATAGCAACAAATTCCATTTGCTCGCCACAGCCAGGGAGACAGTCAGAAATGCCAATATTTTTAGAAGAGCAATGTGTCACAGGAGCTGCAACACCACATTGCTGCCTGCCCAAGAGTCGTTGAATCTGAGCAAAGCAAACAAACAAAGTTAGCTGAAGAATGTAAATGATTTATTTGATATTCACAAAACCTTGATGTTTTAAAATATTATTAGATTAAGATTGAAGCCCTTGGATGTCAGTTTATTTTGCCATGGATAGGAGGGTCTGAACTCATTGGTTGATTCAAGTGCCCTCTCTTCCTTGTGAACATATGTTACTTACCAGAGGCCCATAGACCAAAGGGTACTTCAGGATTCTCCTGCCTCAGACAAACAACTAGAACTTAGCCAAGTGAAAATGCTGGTGCAGCTGAGATTTATCAGGACCAGTGGCTTGCAGCATTATTTGGAACACAAGGAAAACTCCAGTCCCAATCCACATCTTCATTTAATATCACACAGCCAGGGTGGTGAGTCAACAACATTGTTAAAATGTGCAGTTGTTTGTAGCAGCTGTTATATGGTACAGAATCAACTCAGTTACCGTTTCAGCTAAGTCACCTTGAAACCAAAATCAACTGAACCCCCTCTATCTTTTGAAGGGGAGAGGGAAAAGTCAGCATTTGGTGAGGCAAATGAAAATTCTGAATTCGAGCTCATGCTAAGCAAATAAAAGGTACAACTATAGCACACAAGAGATCAGGTGTCTCGGAGAGGAGGGGAGAGAGAGAGAGAGAGAGAGAGAGAGAGAGAGAGAGAGAGAGAGAGAGAGAGAGAGAGAGAGAGAGAGAGAGAGAGAGAGAGAGAGAGAGAGAGAGAGAGAGAGAGCCAAGTGATCATTTAGAATGAAAAACTCCTCAAAACTATATAAAAAGGTGTGACAAGGCAAAGAGGAAGGCCTCTGAACCACTACAGCTGGTAGGGAAGTTGATTCTGTGCATTTGTGATCACCTGCACCACAGTCTGGCTCACTGAGTTTATCAATTTCCACCATACTCAAGACTATTCGAGAACTATGATAAGCAATGTAACCTACTATCATTCTATGTCCTATATGGATGGTTTAATGATTTGGTGGTACAATCCATTAGCAGTAAAATATTTGTCTGATGTAATTAAAAGTGGGCAATGATCCATGAACTGAGCAGCATGTTTTAACTTGGACCCCTGGTTGTTTCTTATAGCGTGATATACCTTCAGTCTCTTGGAAGAACACATGCTTGCAATATGCCAGTTACTCAATGTTCCCATTATCTGAACTGAACAGGAAAGGCAAAGCACATGTATGCACCAAATGTACACAGTCTCCATACCCCAAAATATTTAGCTGAAACACACCAGCTTGTAGTCATTGTTGTACTGTAGAGAAACATGGCATTTAATATGCATACTGCAAAGTCCTACAAAAATCCTATCAAATTCGTGGCTAGCTAATCAGTTTTAGTAACTTTTTTCATGGGGGGGGGACAACATTGTCCAGGACACAGACAGAAATCTTCTGTTCCTTTTTGAATAGAGTCATGGGATCATTTACCATGACCAATGAACAAAGTGATCACTGGAGACTTGGTGGAGGACAAAACAAAAACCTCCCTCGTGCAGAACTTTATAATGCATAGACATACAAATCTACCGTTGGGAAGAGAAGGTGGAAGCAAGATTTAAAAAGATAATCTTTTCTACTGTTATGATTACAGGAGCAGATAGGAACAATAAATGAGAGGCACTTTCATAATGGAAAATATAGTAAGATTACTTTAATAGCTAATCCAGACAAAAATCAATGAGGTTGCAGGATTTGAAGGAGTGGGATGGTGTGAAGAAGATGCTACACAATTTAAAAGTTTCTGCAATGCCAATACATAATATAACGGAAATCTGCATTTTCCGTTCCAAGCAGTAATGCGTGTAGCGTTTTTATCTTGTTGCACATGCAGTATATGGAATAAATTTGCTGCATCATAATAGGCAAATTGCTGGCACATTTTAGATCTTTTTGGAGCCATGGTAAGTGAAAAGTAAAACCTGTTCCCGATTCTAAGCTTTCTGGAATTTAAAAGAAGAATCGAAAAAAAATCATCAACGGCCTCTGTTATAAATGACAATATTAACGAATCAGTTTGATTTCAAGCATATATTTCCTTACCGTACTCTCTTCTACTGCATGGCTGGCTATTTAATGAACCCTTAATGCTTAATCTCTCTTTAATAATTAATTATATGTTTGATTCCAACAATCAAATCTAATCAAAACCTGCTGTTCAAAATTCAACTTTTACTACATTTTCTTTACCTAACACCTAGATTAGGTGGATTATAGGGAGATGGGTCGGTGCGATGCTCTGTGGGTCGGTGTGGACTTGTTGGGCCGAAGGGCCTGTTTCCACACTGTAGGGATTCTATGATCTATGAACACCTGTGCTCATGGATTTACACCATCTCAGAGACAAGCAACTTTTTGATTTTCAGATTCTCATTTTGCTTCCAAATCTCTCACTGAATATGTCTGTTTGGTAGCTTCCTTTGAACCTAAGACTATTGTCTCGATTCACCAAGCAGTGATCCCTGCACTCTGGTACACTGCAGAAACTCAGGCAACCAGCAAACAACTATGCCTTGACCCCAAGTTCTCGTCACCTGTTCTGTTTTCCTACCTTGCTTTCTTACTCAAAAGATAGTCTTCAGAAGTTATCAAAGGATACCTTCTGACCCATAGAATCATACAGCGTAGAAACAGACCCTTCACTTCAACTCGTCCATGCTGACCAGGTTTCCCAAACTAAACTATTCCCCTTTGCTTTTGTTTGGCCCATATCCCTAAGTCTTTCCTGTTCATGTACCTATCCAATATATTTTAAACGTTGTAACTGTACAGCATTTACCACTTCCTCTGGCAGTGCATTCCACATATGAACCACCCTTTTCAATCTCATTTCCTTTTAGGGGAGTTCAAAACAAGAGGGCATAATTTTTAAGGTGAGAAAAGACTTGCTATTCATCTTATGATTTTATAAACCTCGATAAAGTCACCCTTCAATCTTCTACTGTCCAGCGAAAGGTGTCCCAGCCTCTCCTTTATAACTCAAACCCTTCAGTCCTAGCAACATTCTTGTAAGTCTGCTCCACCCCCTTTCCAATTTAATAATATCCTTCCTATCGCAGGGTGACCAGAACCGTAGATAGTACTCCGTGGCCTCACCAACGACATCTACAGCTGCAACATGACATCCCAACTCCTATACTCAATGACCTGGGCAATGAAGGCAAGCATGCCAAACACCTTCGTCACCCTGTCTACCTGTGATGGGATTTTCAAAGGAACAGTGTATCTGCACGCAGAGATCTCTTTATTCCACATAATTCCCTAGGGCCCAACCATTAATTGTACAAGTCCTGCCCTTGCTCATCTTACTAAAATGCAACACCTTATAGTTATCTAAATTATACTCTATCAACTGGCCCATTGGCCCAGTTGATTAAGATCCTGTTGAATTCTTAGGTAACCTTCTTCACCTGTCTACTATACCATCTATTTTGGTGTCTTCTGCAAACTTACCAACATGCTTCCTATATTTTCATTCAAATTGTTGATACCAATGATAAACAGAGAACCCAGCACCGATCCCTGCAGAATACAGTTGGTCACAGGCCTCCAGTCCGAAAAGCAAATCTCTTGCCATCAAACCAAATTTTGTATCCCTTGGGATCCAAGGATCAATGTGATCTAACTTTACTAACTAGCCTACGACCTAATACCACCCAAGGTGATTCAGCATCATGCTTTCTTTTACAATGTATCCCTGAAGCCCTCGGGACATTTTATAACATTAGAGACATGTACTACGCCAACTCATCATCATATAATGTACTCAAAATCGTGACCTAAATGCACAAAATGCCAGCCTATTAATGTTTGCTTTTATTTGGGAGTGGGGTAAGGAAAAAAAAAAAAAAAAAAAAAAAAAAAAAAAAAAGGACCAGACCAAAGACAAGGACAGATGAAAAACTTCTTAGAGTCACTTTACCTGAGCTTGGAGGAGCTTTAGTTGTCTATCCTGTTCCACAAGAATCTTGTAAGCATTAACAGGCAATCCCATTGTTACATTTCCTTCTTGGTCATGCTCTAGTCTTCCGATGGGAAAGTGTAAACAGGCAGAAGGTCCTGTGCACGTTTTACACCGATTTAGTGGAGGAGTGTAGGAGCCACCAGGTGAATTCATCAAACTGCTGTTTGAAAGTGATGTGCTTCCTATTTGTCCAGGTAAGCTCTGGTTTATTGAATTGTTATTCGCACACACAATACTACAGTGAGAATTTGGTAAACAAGTTTGTGGGCATGATGTAGGACTACATTCATGACAAGGTAGTGAGTGGATTCCTTTTGAGCCATACGCTGGAGTATTTCCTTGCCAATTAGAATTCGATGAAGGTCCACAGCAGGGTCCATGACGTTGGCAGCAATTACAGTAGCTCGTTGGGTATGGCATGTGAAAGTGTGGTGGAAATCCTAAATTCTGCATTTCAGAAGGAGAATGAGATGGAAAATTAGGAATGTACTGTAACGAATGTTGACTGGATTTGTTGGGAGAAGTTGGTCCTTGTGGTTGCTGTGTGTCAGACATAGATTGCCGAAGCCTGGGAGCAATCCCTCCTTTACTCAAAATAGGATTCTTTATTGGATCAGCTTTATCAGTGGACATAACCATCTTTGGTTGTTCTATAGAATTGTCGGGTGAAGGTCCACTTGGAGGAGTAGAGCAGGACGACGACGACGACGACGACGACGACGACGACCCAGGACTCTTCCTGGCAAAATGACTGCTTTTTGATTGTGACTTTGTTGTTTTTTCGTTACAAGACTTAACAGTTGTTGTTGATCCATGTGAAAGAATCAGATTGTGTTTTAATGGAGGAGGTACAACTTGGGACATCACTCCCTGCTGCCCATTTTTGGAAGGTTGTTTGCTTGCATTAAAAGTCCTAGATGCTTCATGGGTTTTCATTGTCTGTTGCAATTTATTTTGTTGTACTCTTGTTGGAGTATACTTTGACTCTATAAAACTTCCATCAAATACAAGTGACAGCTCAGGCACAGAAGGATAGACTCTTGGAAACTGTGTTAATAGAAAGGAAGATTACAATAAATGTGAATATGCATTCTGGAAATTAAGGCATTTAATGTAGATAGCAACTTTCAAATTGGAAACAAAGTTTCTGACAGTTTGACCATTTCAACATCCAGAGTGAGTGCTAGGCTCTTGTTATATCATGTCATTTAAAATCAGAGTCCAATTTACATAGCATTATAGCACTTAAATTTTAATCATATGACTCATTTGCATAACAATTAGTGCTAGGGATTAAAAAAACACACTGGAAATGAGGCAAATTTCCAACCGTGAGCACAACAGTTGTAGATTGAAGTGTGCCTCAAAATGCTCTTTGGGTACGTGGTATATTCAAAATGATATTCTTAAGCTATACACTTAAATGGTTGAATATAAAATCATGTTAAAGGAACTGAATTACAAGTGGGCTAATCAAATTTTACATGATCACAAGCATCTTCTGGCAAAAGGCAATTACTATAGCCCTTTTTAAAAAAAAAAGGAAGTGAAGAGAACCATCCTATTATGGGTAGGTGTTGTGAGGAATTTATGTTTGGGAAAAGATCTGCAAAACTGGAACTTGCTTAATCCAATCTTTAGGACTTGAAAGTGCAGTCTTCCAGCACATTTACTGCAAAAGATTAGTTTCTAAAAAAGGTACTCTCTCATTCTGTATTTTGTAAGTTACTCTTTAAATCTGGACTACTGACCATAGTAAATACCGGCCCCCCCAAAAACACATGCTTAAAATATTCCATGCAAATACTTTAAAAACAATTAATAATAACAACAACAACAACAATAATAATAACAACAACAACAACCTTTTGTCCAACTGGGTGTGGACTTGGTGTTGGTCTTGGAGATAGGTCATCTTCCTCAACACCAGAATCATTGTCACCAACTGATTTTTTGTTTGAAAGCATGTCACACTGAAGGCTGTAAAAGAAAGTTACTGATTTATTCAGTTTTTAGTAATATAATTCAAATCTCTACTGACACCTACATAAAGCAACAGATTTCCAATCTCAGCTCATACTCTCAACTTGAAACAGAATGGAGAGTTGAATTTCAAATTTAGCTGAAATTCTGAGCAGAATTATTAGACTTTAGCTTATATGCTTTTAGCCTCATCACAGCTCAACAGGAAAGCTAAGGAAACACAACCCAAGGGAAAAGAAAGATTGCTCAGCTTTGGCCAGAAATCTCAGAGACCTGAATACTTTGTATCAGATCAAACCAGTCATCTTCATTCACGAAGACAATATTTTTCTAAATCAGCAGTGACACTCAATTTTTAATCATCCTGTCTACACTTAAAATACAATAGCGCCAATTTACTTCTCATTTCTGGAATGAAAGACAAATCAACTAATAGACTACGTCTTATTTGAAAAGTAGCATATAAATAACAGATATATCAAATTTGAATAATGAGAGTTACTTCCAAGCAAATTCTGTAGCAACATAGCTAGAATAGAGACATCCATCCAGCAATGTGGAAAATCAGTCACTTTAACCATGGTTAGTCATCTACTATTGGTGCAACGTAACTAGTATACATCTAAAGGATGCATGTAAAAAAAAAAACCATTAACTGTTTTGTTACAGAGCCTCTCAAATACACTAACTGTATCACTTGAGGGACAGGGGAGCAGTCATAACTGGAAGTTACACACCATTCCAGCTTTGACGTTTGTTTGCCATTCCTCCATTGTCACTAGGTAAAAATACTATTTGTGCCGTACCAAACATTACTGTCAGAGTACCTATAATACATGGATTTGTAAAAACTACAGTTCAAGAAGTTTATCGATTCGACTATGGATGGGTAAGCGTTGTCCTTGAGAGATACCCCACATCCAAGAACTTTTTAAAAAAATTGGAGCAGTATATAAACAGGAGGTTATTATGATTGTACTGTGTTTCCCCTCCTTACTTAGCTCTGTATTTCTTCATTATGGAAGAAAAAGGCTCATAAGTAAAACAGAAATGAATTAAAATGAAGCTGACTATGTTCTGACAATGTTCTTGTGACCAAACCACAAGGGAGTCTTAATATAAATCTCAGATAGTGCTAGATGAAGTCCAGGGAATCATCATCATCCAAAAGGTGTTCACATACTTTAAAAGGGTGATGACAGCTATTTAGACTCCTTTGTGCTACCTATGACAGGCCTGAATGAATCACAGTGACCAAAGGAAAATAATTTCCATTTCAAGATAATGCACTAATATTCAAAGATATCCTTAATGTATAATGTAACAAATATTTAGATTGGCAAATAGGCATTTACTGCAGAGTAGCATGATATTAACACGGAGGTGCACTTTTTTCTGTTAATAAATGTAACAACTTTCCAAATGCAGCTGAAATATCATCAGAAATGCACTATGTTGAACAATACTTACGGCGTGCCCATAATATTGCTAACCACTTCCTTAAATAAATCACTTTCTGGATTTTTATTTTCAGCACTTAGTTCAAATTCAGTGAGCTGTTTTCCTGAAGACTCAATGCTCTGAAAAAAAAATTACAAATAAACAGAATTGAACTGGCAGGTGGGGAGCACCAAAGAGACACCTAGGGGTACAGGTTTATTGTTCTTGAAAGTTGCATCACAGGTAGACAGGGTAGTTTAGAAGGAGTTTAGCATGCTTGCCTTCATTGCTCAGACCACTGAGTACAGGAATTGGGATGTTGATGAGGCCACTTTTGGAGTACTGTCTACAGTTCCGGTCGCCTTGCTAATAGGAAGGATATTATGACATTGGAAAGGGGGTGGAGAAGACTTACAAGAATGTTGCTGGGACTGAAGGGTTTGAGTTATAAAAGGAGAGGCTGGATAAGCTGGACACTTTTCACTGAAGCGTAGGAGATTGAGCGGTGACCTTCTAAGAGGTTTATAAAATCATATGGATAAGGGAGTTCAAAACTAGAGGGCATAAAAATCAATGAGATCATGGCTGATCTGATAATCCTTAACTCCATTTTCCTTCTTTTATCCCCAATAACCCTGGATTCCCCACTGATTAAAAATCAGTCTACCCCATCTTTGAATATACCCAATAACCCAGCTTCAAACAGCTTTCTGCAGAAAAGAATTCCACAGATTCACTCAAGAAATTCTTCAGCTCTTTTAAAATGTGGGACCCCTTATTTTGAGATTATGCCCTCCGGTCCTTGACTCTCCCACAAAAAGAAACAACTTTTCTGCATTGACCCTGTCAAGCTCCCCAAGAATGTTGTATACTGTCTCTCATACTTCTTTATTCCAACAAATACAGGCTCAATCTACTTAACCTTCCTTCATAAGACAGTCCTTCCATATCTGGTATCAGCCTAGTGACCTTTCTTTGGATTGCCTCCAATGCCAGTGCATCTTTCCTTAGCTGATTGCTTCACTTCCTAGCGTGTAGTTGGAGAAAATAACTGACGTAACACTATATTTTGGCTAAAAAGATTGACACCATACAGAAAACTTGACATTTTATTTAGGAGCTGCATGCAGAAATCAAAGAGTTGAAGAATACATCCTCAAAAGGTCTCTGGAGGTGACTATCAGATTGGGAGGAGGTGCCTTTGTTAGTTAACCAATTTTAGTTAAACTCCAAGAATGGAATCAAGTAATGGTAGTTTTATAGACAGAACAGTAATGCGACCATGCAGGAGGTCCTGTTTTCAGTAACAGGATACTTCTAGCCAGGCAGCGAGTTATATAAAACAAGCAAGCAATCTCTGGTTTTGAAACAGAGAAACTGAACCTCAAATCTCAATGGAATAAACTGCTCAATAGCTGCAAATTCATGTAGAGAGCAGCAGGTCAGCATTCCCAGAATTCTTAATTTGTCTGTGAAACGGATGGAGGTCTAATGGAAGGTAAAACTGGACTGTATGCAAAACAGCAAGTCATTCTATCAGCCATTTGCCCATTGATGTATTAGGATAACATGGTACATGTTGATAATTTATTCATTTGTGGCAAATTCATCATCTATTGCTCATCCCTAATTACTCTGGAGAAGATGGTGGTAAAGAGTTGCCTTCTGGAGCCACTGCAGTCTATGTGGTAAAGGTACATCCGTTGTTGGAAAGATAGCTCCAGGATTTGATATTGCGATAGTGAAGTAACACTAATACGGTTCCAAATCAGGCTGGGTGTAGGACTTGGAGTAGAATGTGCCAGTGGTAGTGTTCTTATGTGTTTGTTACACTTATTCTTCTAAGTGGGAGGTTGTCAGGTTGGAAAGTGTGATTGAAACAGTTTTAAAGAGAACTTCAATGCATCTTATTACCATTGGTGATGGAGGGAAAGAATGTTTAGATGGGGTGCTGATCAAATGGATCAGAAAGTGACATCAGCTTTGCTGGAACTGCAATTATCTAGATAAATGGAGATTATCTCTGTCACCCTCTCCCAACTGGTGTCTTGTAGACAGTGCACAGAAAATTAGATAGAAAACTTAGCATCAAATTGACTTTTTGAAAAAATGTTTACAGTAACAAAGAATGCAATGCTTCCCTTGAATAAGCCCATATACTTACTGTGCAAAGATTTAATACTTCTGTACTGGTAAGCAGCTGGAAATCTAGTTTCTGATGCTCATGGCAAGGATGGATTTCATAGAACTCTGGCTGTCTGTGCGTAACTGAATAGACAACTAGAAGAAAACGTTTCTGTTCAGTCCAGAAAACTCTAAACAAAACAAAAAACAGAGGTTACTTCAAATGTATCTTGTAGATATTGGAGAGGTGTTTGAGGCAGATTAGCCACCCTGCAAATTATTCAGCATTTGACTAATGTTTGCAGTCAGTGTCAAATGGCTGATTGAAATTGGAATTTTATTAAATGATAGCTGCCAGAATGTTGGCTGCTCTCTGCATTCTTTTGCTAAAGAAGGGGCTCGAGTCCTCAGATTGAGAAAAGGTTTGCAATTCCATCTTTAATAAATTATAGCTCTTTTATTAAATACAGGAAATCAACCCCAGGTTGTAAAAGAAAGTTAGAGTGCAGAGGTCAGGAATTCAAATTCAGCTGTGAAATTGAAGTTGATAAACCTGATCATCCATGAGTTAGCACCAAAAGGTTACAATGCAAAGTGTCAAATGGTTCAAAAAAAAAAAAAAAAAAAAAAAAAAAAAAAAACAGCTCATTTACTTTGCTGATGAGTACAAAAGAAAGCTTTACTAAGCCCTACAAATCAGTTTTCAGTAGGGTCTTCAACTCTGGGCATCATACTTTGCAAAGGATGTAGCCTCACCAAGGACTGACAAAGGTGGTTTATTAAAATAGTACCAGGGAATAGGGATTTCAATTAAAAAGAAAGGAGAATCTGGGATCCTTTTCCTTAGAGAACTGGTTTAAGGAGATTTAGCAGAGATACTTAACAGCAGATTTAATAATCAAAATTACAAATGATTTTTTGAAAGAATATGTTTGCATTGGCAGGAGGATTGGTAACCAGAGGTAACAGATTCAAGATAATTGGTAGAAGTGGTAACACAGTGTGGAGCTGGAGGAACATAACAGGCGAGGCAGCATCAGAGGAGCAGGAAAATTGACATTTCAGGTCGGGACCCTTCTTCAGGAATGGGGGAGGAGGGGGAAAGAGCTGGGAAATAAAGAGAGAGGGGAGGGGTGGGGCCAGGGAAAGGTAGGTGGGATAGCGATACGCGAGTGCAGGTAGGCAGTGGTGGGGATTGGTTAGTGAGATGGGAGGGGTGGATAGGTGGGAGAGAAGATCACAGAATCCGTACAATGTGGAAACGGGCCCTTTGGCCCAACAAAGTCCATACTGACCCTCACAGCATCCGACCCAGACCCAATCCCCCTATAACCCACCTTACCTACACATCCCTTAACCCCAAAAGCAATTTACCATGGCCAATCCACCTACCCTGCACATCTTTGGGCTGTGGGAGGAAACCCACGCAGACACAAGGAGAATGTGCAAACTCCACACAGACAGTTGCCCGAGGCTGGAATTAAACCCAGGTCCCTGGCACTGAGGCAGCAGTACTAACCACTGAGTCACCATGCCTCACAAAACTTAAGACCGCGATAGCTGGGAATCGAACCCGGGTCAACTGCTCGGAATGCAGCTACGCTCACTACTATACCAATGTCATTGCGATGG